CAATAACATTAAACAAGTGAAGCTTCTGGCTCTTACCTTTGTCATGGGCACAGTTTTATATGATGGCTTTCGTTTCAACAAAGTTTTAGTCAAGATTTGCACTTTAGTCGTTAGAAATTTACTCCAAAAATTAAAATAAAAATAAATAGAAACTCTCATGACATGTCTACTCTTTTCTTCTTCTATTTTTTAAAATATTTCATAAATCAATTTTTAAAAGCTATTTTTCAAAACAAAATCAAAGAAAATTTGCTTAATTATGTTAATTTGAAAACAATTTTAGAATTAAGAAATTTGGCAATAATCATGGTTGAGTGTAGGGCTTTGCAACGGGCAAGATTGGCTGGCTAGAAATGTTGCTCATGGCCTTCTTGTTTTGCATAAAATGGGCTGGGCCAATCTATATCCATACATGGCAGTTGCTCACCGCAAGTACACGAGACGTAACAAGTAATATAATAAAAGTAAAATATCATTCCCTCAGAATTTGTTTAAAAACAATGATCAAATAAAAGACTAAGTAAATTCAATCAAGTTAAGCCACACATAGTTAGGTAAAAATAATTTTGCAAATGAAACTAATACTAGAAAATAAAGAAATGTAATTAATTCACAAACTTCAAACATAAATTGGGACTTAGGATTATTTATTCTCCTTGCATTTCATAACGTCAAAATTACCTCCTCTCATAAATGCTTTTAATAAAAATAAGTGCTAACCTATGGTTTTAAAAATATTTGGACAAGCTCTCTCAAGTTATGAACAAGTGTTTAGTTAAATTAATTGCCCAATTTTTTGTTACAATTAATAAAACTCAATTTTAAATACCAACTTAATGTGGCTATGCAAACCTAGCAAGTATATCTTTATCTTACTAGTAAAATATCCATTCAACATGTAAATATCAAGTTCTTGTACAATTTTACCCAAGTTCTACACTCAATCTAACCCTCTCAAGCATCAATCAAGTGAACCCAATATCTAAATAGTGGCCAATCACTCAGAAAATTAAGAAAAGAGTAAAATAAACACATTTGTATCATTAATCACAAAAAGAGAGGAGGAACATAATGTTAATCCATACAAAGATTCAAAATAATCCTAGAGCAAGAGTTTAGCTACTCATAAACATAAAAAAACTACACATACACGAGATAATTTTAGCTATCACAAGATTACAAGAAAGAAAGGGAAGAGAAATAGAAAGACTAAAAAAAAAGAACTCCAAATGTCTTCAAAACTCCATTCCCTTACTTCAAACACTTTCAATTCCTAAACCCTAACACACCCAAGCTCTAAAGGTGTCTAAAAGTTAAAAAATTCATTTTGGGTTGAGTTCTCAGCATATACATGTCCTAGCCAACCAATTTTTGATAAATGAAACGTAACGTTTTTTTGACAGTAGCAAAACTCACGAACGAAAGTCATGATTTTGGGATGACTTTGGTAGTTTTGCACTGTTTTTGTAGCTAACAAAAATAATTCATTTTGTACTTGATTTTTTATCCGAAAGCCTTCAAAAAATATCCACAAAGCTCCGAAAATACTTCTAATCAAAATTTCAACCAAAATAACATGAAATTAAGCCTAAAATATCAAATCAAAGTTGAAAATACAAACCCAAAATAAAATGCACATTTTCTAATTTAGGCAATAAAAACACATACAATTAAACTAAAATGGATTAAAATATAAGAAAATGTGATGAAATAACATGAAATTCTAGAGGTTAACAGTGGCATAAACTAGGTGGGTTGAACCATCCAATTTTATGTAATAGCCCCCTTTTTTTCCCATTCTACAAGGACCTCTTTCAACATAAAGGCATCAAGTAGTCATAGGTCAATAACATTAAGAAAGGCACCACAGATCATAAAATCATGAATAAGAATCAATTAACTTGCTTGGTTTGCATGAGCTTTGGATTTCAAGCTTTAAATCTATATAGGCATGCAACACCATGAGTTTGAGAGATAGACTAAGTGAGAGGGGATGTATTGTAGGGAGAAGAGGGAGTCAGGTGAGATGAGTGATGGTGAGTGTAACGATGAGGGAGCTAGTGTTTACAGTTCAGTCTTCGAAAAATGTCGACGGTGAGTAATGACGCAAGGAGAGAGGATTAGAGGCTAATATGAGAGATCTAAGAAGTGAGAAGCAGTCGAGGGAATAAGAGTGTACGAGTTGTGAGAAATGAGCAAATGATTAATGAGGGACACAAGTTGGAGGTAAGAGAGACAGTTGGGGATATAATGTAAGGAGAGGAGGGAGTCGGATAAGATGAGTGATGGCGAGCACAATGATGAGGGAGCCTGTATTTACAGTTCAGTCTTTAAAAAATGTCAACAGTGAATGATGAGGCAAGGAGAGAGGATTAGAGGCTAATATGAGAGATTAAGAAGTGAGAAGAGAGAGGTTGAGGGAGACAAGTGTGTGCGAGTTGTGAGAAATGAGTAGATGATCGATGAGCAGCACAAGTTGCAGGTAAAAGAGACAGTGATTGAGAGTTTGAGACAAAAATGAGAGATTTAGAAGTGAGAAGAGAGCGGCTGACAAGGGTGTGCAATGGTGTGAGCTGTGAGAAATAAGTAGATGATTGATTATTTTTTTGTTTGCTGAAGGTGGAGGTAGACTCTCAAACGTTATCGTGTTTTTTTTTAAATTAATCATTTGGTCTTTGTAATTTTGACCCAGTTATAACTCAGTCTTTGAAATTTTGATTTAGTTGTAAATCAGTCCTAGACTTTGCTTCTTGCAACTTAGTCATGAAGTTTTAACCTCTTAAATATTGGTCTTGTGTTTTCAAAAAATAAAATTATAAAGATTAAAAATATTTTAAACTTATAACATTTATAAATATTAAAAGGGTTTAGTAATTTAAGATATTAGTAATAAATTTTAAAATATTTTTAATTTTTATAATTTTTTTAAAAATAGGGATCAATATTTAAGAGATTGAAACTTTAAGTGTTAAATTGTAAGAGGCAAAATTCAGGAATTGATTTACCATTGAGTCAAAACTTTATGAGTTGCGTTATATCGAGTTAAAGTTTATGAATTGGGTTACAATTGAATTAAAACTATAAGGACCAAATTGTTATTTTTTTAAAATAAATGCATTTCTATACAGGTTGGGACGGGCAACTTAAGGGTAACTGCTTCGCTCGTTTACATTGAAGACGGCTGGCTTGTTAAGTCATTGTCCCACATTTTTTTTGGTGAGCGAATTTTAACTTGCCCTTTTGCACTAAGTGCAAATAGGTCTAATAGGCTGTAGGTTGTTTACTCACTTCTAGTTGGGTGTGGTTAATGGCAAGGGCTTATGATAGTTGTTGGTTATAGTTGAAAATAATTTACAACAATTTAATGTAGTATACTTTAAAAATAAAAATGAAACAATTACGAGATGTTCCTATTTTTTACTTTTAAAATAAAAATAAAAATAAAAATAATTTTAAAAACATTTAAATCTAAAACACTTGCTAAAATAATTTTTTTTAGTATAAAAATCAAACCGGACTTAGTCTTGTTAAAGAACAGCAGTCTCAGCAATCCAAACATTGCCCAAGATTGAGCAAAACAAAAGTCAGGAAAAAAAAAAAAATTCAAAGCGTGAAACTTGAGTTTGGCATAAATTTGTGGGGGATTACCAACTCAAGGGGAGAAGAATAATTTCCTTGAATTATGAAATTGAAGTGGGTCACCCAGTCACTTTAGTTGGAGAAAAAAAAACCTAGATTTTATATTATGACTGGAAAAACAATATAAAAAGTTGACGAAAACAATTTGATGAAAATTATCATTCTCATAATAGTTTTTTTCACTGAAATACTTTTCCTCCCATTTTTTTTCCTTTGCATCTAAACTATTTTTCACCGTCCATGGTGTGTGTGTGTGTGTCTGTGTTTATTTGATACTACGTGGCAGTGGTTTGTTGACTTTTTTGGACGCTTCCTTTGAAAGTGATGCTACAAGGGTTATTGGCTCTTGGGCCCAAAAAAAAAATTTTTTTTATTAAAAAATATAAAATGTCTTTTTAAAAGTTTAGATATTTAAAAATATAATTTTTTAATATTTTAAAGTGTAATTATTTTATTTAAAAACATCCTTAATAATTAAATCATTTTATATTTATTATAAAGTGAAATATCATTTTAAAATAAATATGACAAAGTCATGTTAGTTAAAAAATAATTAATTACTTTATTAAAGTGTAATTTAATAAAAAATATCTTACAAAGTATTTTAAAGGAGAAAGTATGATTATTTAAATTATGCTTTTGAGAAATTTAGACGTTCTAATTCTAATGAAATTAATAAAATGGTAATAGAGGTAGTGGGGTCAATTTTTTTTAGTTACATTAATAAATTACATTAATAAATTTTTATCATAATTTTTTTTAATTTTATGAAACATTGATGATAAAAATATATCATTAAAATATTTTTATTTAATAAGTCTAATGAAATCAGTTAATCTTTTGCAATGTAAAGAATTAATTGAAGGACACATATGTAAAATTAAAAAATATGTTTATATAATAAAAATAAAGTTAACAATTTTAAATTTTAAATAAAATATATTAAAAATAATTTATAAATAACGATATAAGAAAAAAAATGTGACGTTGTCAAACAATCAGGCCAGATGGGAAAATGCCACGTAAGGATGGCCCTTCAAATCAATTCATAGGCCCAATCTCGTCACGTCACGCATGGTTCCCACTCCCGTAAATATCGGCCCAGCCAGGGGCCATTCTCATCCATGTCCTCATTGCCCAAGTAAAAAAGTTGGAAAAAAAGTTAATCGACCCAAAAAAAAAAAAAGCAAAAGTAAAAGATACGCCATGAGATAAAAAAAAGTTTTGCAAAATAAAATTAAAAAGGAAAAAAAGATAAAATTGGCGGATTCCAAATGAGAACTCAAATATAGTTCGTAATCAGCGTTCAGGTCCGTTGCTGGTATCTCTCTTTTCTCTCTAGGCGCCCTTTTGTCCCTTATCATCTCACGTTCTCACTTTCTCGACCATACGCAGGTTTTCCACCAGCCAGGAAAGAGATAGAAAGCCCGAGAAAACTTTCAGAGGGAGGCAGAGAAGGCCGGGCGCAGATATTCTATGAAGTGGAGACAGTAGCCTTCAAGATAAACAAGGCGCAGGACATAGAATCCATGGCTTAGGCTCTATTTATTGCCGTCGTTGTCGATCTGAACCGCTGCCTTTGAAGTTATTTTCTTTTTAATGAAACCCTAAGGACCTTTGTGTTGGCTTTAAAGTTTTTGATTGTATCGGGAGGCGAAGATTGGTACGGCGCAGCGTGTACTGCTTGCCTCATAAGATTTCCTTTCGATCTGGGGCGGGGTGCCTTGCAAATCAACGTTTTATCAGCTGCGGACGTATTCGCGGCTGACCTTTGAAACCCTAGATTCGTTACTGCGCCGTTAAAGTTGGTGTATGCGTTGCCGCCTGTACGATCTGGCTTCTGAGATTGTATGAATTGCACTTAGGAGCGCCTTTCTTTGATTTTATTCTTGTGTGGTGCTGTGCTACGGTTTTTCCGTGGCTGCCCCTGCTATTGTGTTGTTTTTCATGCCGCCTGAACCACTGCCGTGGGACCGGAAGGACTTCTTCAAGGAGAGGAAGCACGAGAGGTCTGAATCGCTGGGCTCTGTGGCGCGATGGAGAGACTCTTCTCATCGTGGTTCCCGAGAGTTCAGTCGGTGTGGATCCGATTTCCACAGACTGCCAGGTAATTTGTTATCTTGTCTGTGTTATATCTGCTGATAATGTTCGGGTTCCAAGTTCATGTTTATTCAGTCTATAAGGAGCTGGAGCTTCCGCTCTATGCTAATTCGTCTCTTTCTTATTTTAATTTACTCAAGCTTTTTTTTTTCTTGAATTAATTGATTATGTTTTATGTCTTTGATATTCTATTGTGGATTTGGCGTTGGTATGTTGAAGATCTGAGTCGCTAGTTTTAAGAAAATACTATCGCAAAGAGAAGAATCTCCCTTCCCCTTCTGTAACAGATTTTTCTGCCATTCTTTTCTATTTGTGATGAAAAAATATATACTTTGCTTGTGTTGATGTTTTTCTATTTTTCCTTTTTTTGTTTAAAAAATTTCTGAAGGTCATGGTAAGCAGGGAAGTTGGCACCTGTTTCCCGATGATTCTGGTCATGGATATGCACTATCTCGGTCCAGTGACAAGATGCTGGAAGAAGAGAACTGTCGGCCATCAGTTTCCCGAGGAGATGGAAAATATGGTAGAAACAGTAGGGAAAGTAGAGGATCCTTTAGCCAGAGAGATTGGAGAGGACATTCATGGGAGGCCACCACCAACGGCTCTCTAAATTTGTCCAGGAGGCCACCAGATGTTACTATTGACCAGAGGTCTGCTGATGACATGCTAACATATCCTTCTCATCCTCATTCTGATTTTGTAAATACTTGGGATCAGCATCATACGAAAGACCAGCACGATAAGATGGGTGGTGTCAGTGGGTTGGGTTCTGCACAGAGATTGGATCGAGAGCATTCTCTTGGTTCAATTGACTGGAAGCCTCTTAAATGGACCCGTTCTGGAAGCTTGTCTTCACGAGGCTCAGGTTTTAGCCATACAAGTAGCTCAAGGAGTGGAGGGGCTGATTCCAACGAGGCAAAGTCTGAATTGCATCCAAAAAATGCAACTCTTATTGAATCCCATTCAGGGGATGGTGCTGCATGTGCGACGTCTTCTGCACCCTCTGAAGATACAATATCTAGGAAGAAGCCTCGGTTGAATTGGGGCGAGGGACTTGCAAAGTATGAGAAGAAGAAAACTGAGGAACCTGATGTAAGTGCAAGCAAGGATGGCCCCGTCTTGTGTACTAGTAATATTGAACACTCTAATTTTCTCGGTTCAAATTTATTAGATAAAAGCCCGAAAGTTACAGGCTTTTCAGATTGTGCATCCCCAGCCACTCCATCTTCCGTTGCTTGCAGTTCCTCACCAGGTTCGTAATTCACTTGATCCCGACTTGGGTGTGTTCATTTTCTTTAACCCTCCAGTGGAAATGCATGAAGATGATGAATTGATTATTAATTAACATGGGAATTCAACTTTGCTTACTATTGTTAATGAAATACCATCTATCTCATTAGGGCGGTTATCAAGTTATGTCATTATATTGAAGTATAATGACTATTATACTGATGTCTGCTTAAACAATTTTTCCTTTGCATGTTATACTCCACATGCGGACCACATGCGGTCAAATATATGATGCTTTAAGTTGACTGAGTTATATTAGCAGGAATTTTAATATCTCTATGCAATCATTTGCTTTATTCTTCCTTTTTCATTGTAAGTGGGATTGCAGTGTTGTCAAACCTGTTGCTTTCTTTCTTTCTTTTAATGATCTCGTGATTTTTATTCCTTCACCCTCTTGGTGCCTACTGTATTGCCAAAAGTATGATACAGACAGCTTTATCTGCTGCATCTACTTGTTATTTGTGGAATGCCTCATTGTATTTCATCCCCCCAATTATTTCAAGAAGTTACCTGCTTCTCTGAGATTAGAAGAGGAACTCTATTGATATTTTACCCTCAGAGTAGCAGTAGAAGTGTAATATAGTTCTGTCAGTCTGGCATATGCACTCGTTATTAATCAAAATAAATTTCACAATTTAGCAGGTGTGGAGGATAAACTGTATGGAAAAGCTGTGAATAGTGACAATGATGTTAGTAATTTGAATGGCTCACTGGACCCAGGGCCTCAGAATCATCTACAGACGTTTTCTTTGAATTTAGAGAAGTTGGATATTGACTCCCTGAGTAGTTTGGGTTCTTCACTTATTGGGTTGCTACAATCTGATGACCTAAGTTCCGTGGATCCTGTCATAGCAAGTTCTGCTGCAATGAATAAGTTGCTAATATGGAAAGCTGACCTCTCTAAGGTATTGGAGGTTACTGAGGCTGAAATTGATTTACTAGAAAGTGAGTTGAAGTCACTGAAATCTGAATCTGGAAATAGCTGTCCATGTCCTGCAGCATATGGCTCCTCACTGGTGGCATGCAATACGAAGTCTTGTGAAGAACAAGTTAAAGGCTGTGATAAGGTCTCCCGGCCAGAGCCACTGCAGGTTTGTTCTTCTGCTGATCCTGATGTGGAGAAGATGTCCCCTTCAACTAAAGTGCATAATATTCATGAAAGTGGCAAGGAGGAAGATATTGATAGTCCTGGAACAGCAACTTCTAACCTGCAGCCTCTTATTAAAGCAGTGTGTTCATGTGTTATTGGGGAAAATGGTCATTGCGCTGGAGGCTGTGATGCCATTCAATCTGCTAGCAGTAGATGCTTATTGCTCTGTTCCACGAGCAAGCAGGCTAGCTTGTCTGCTCGTGGTGGTAGTAGTACAGCTATGGAGGTAAAAGATGGTATGGTTGCTGCTCATGGTGCAAGTTCTTGCTCTAGATCTGAGGATATATTGTATAATGCAATTATTTCTTCTAATAAAGAATATGCAAACACAGCGTGTGATGAAATTGCTCAGTTATTGCCAAATTGCTGTAAGGTTGGTAATATAGGAGCCATCAATGACTCATGCTCTTCAACTGGTGCGGTTAGAGAAAAATTTGCAGAGAGAAAGCGGTTAGCAAGGATCAAGGAGCGAGTAATAACCCTGAAGTTTAAAGCTTTGCATCATCAATGGAAAGAAGATATGCGATCACTGTCTGTACGAAAATGTCGTCCAAAATCTCATAAGAAGCTTGAAGTAGGCATTCGAACTACTAATAGTGGTTTTCAAAAGAATCGGTCCTCAATTCGAACTCGGATTTCCTACCCTGGTATGCATCTTTCAACAGCATGTTTGTCTGCCAAATGTGTTCCAATTTTTCTGTTTGTTGTTTCTCTTAACTGTCTAGGATATTCTATGTATTGCATATAGTAATGGTTACTTTCTTAAAGTGAGGAAGCAGAATTGGTCAGTTTTCTATTGCAGGTTGGGTTTTATTTGCATTTGTATTTGTGATGATTTTATTGCCTAGCATCCCATGTGTGCATGTATTAATTGGAAACTGTGCATTTGTTCGGTGCCTCAGATGAATTGTATTGTTCATGATTTGTGAACAATGCGGTTTCTGATATTTATTGTATTTTGGTGTTATTTTTTATTTGTTCTTATTAATTTAACCTATATTTCTTTCAGCCTTGTTGGGTGATTGATACGCTAGCTAGCTTTAGTATCAATGTTAGCAGAATTTGCATGCCCTATGTGGAAATCATGAGTAGTTGATCCAAGGCAGACCTGGCTGGCTTCGCTTGTAGTTGAATTCTTCAATATGGTAGAGATTGAGGCATGTGATGCTGCATTTGGTGTTAGGCTACTAACTGTGGTGCATGCCATTGTATCACTAATAAATGGGATAATAGCATACCTTTTCAGTTTTATTTAGCAGGTCTTTGGCTTGCTTTTTGTGACACTGCTAGCAACTTGAGCTCTGATTTGTATCAGACTAGTTGACTGAATTCTCAATTATGCCAACTTTAATTGTAGACAGAAAATACAGCAAGTTCTTATTCTTCATGAAAACAATTTTAGCTTATTAATTGGATCACAAGTTTTCTCATTGATTTGGAGGGGCCAGGCGAGTTTTAAATGTATATTTTTTAGGTAAATTATTAAACGTATATTTACTTCACTGATTTTAGGATTGCCCGCAATTATTTCTGTGACCTAAGTTTCCTGTAAAAAAATAGTTCATTTGAGGTGTTCTATTTTTATCTCCATATCTGTTTTTCATCACTTGCATACTGTTTTGAAGTCGTCTAGCTTTTGGCTAATAATATTTTTTTCCAGCAGGCAATAATTTAAGCTTGGTTCCAACATCTGAGATAGATGATTTTGCCAGCAAACTTCTCTCTGATCCCCAAGTTAAAGTTTTCCGGAGCACCTTGAAAATGCCATCATTAATTTTGGATCAGAAGGAGAAGATGATGTCAAGGTTTCTATGTAGTAATGGGTTGGTTGAAGATCCTTTATCATATGAGAAAGAGAGGGCTATGGTCAACCCTTGGACATCCGAAGAGAAGGATATTTTCATGGAGAAATTTGCTGCTTTTGGGAAAGACTTCCGGAAAATCGCTTCTTTTCTTGATCACAAGACAACTGCTGACTGTGTTGAGTTCTATTACAAAAATCATAAATCTGAGTGCTTTGAGAAAATTAAGCAGGATGTTAGGAAGCTAGGGAAGTCATATTTGACCAACACAGACTTGGTAGCATCTGGTAAGAAATGGAACCGAGAAATAAATTCTGCTTCGCTTGACATTTTGAGTGCAGCTTCAGTGATAGCAGGCCATGCTGACAGAATGAATGGTAACAAAAAATTGCGTTCAGGGAGTTCTCTTTTAGAAGGCTATGGTAATATGAAAAGATCAAAGGGCGAGGATAGTCTCCTAGAGAGATCATACAGTTTTGATGCTCTTAGGGATGAAAGAGAGGTAGTTGCAGCTGATGTATTGGCTGGTATATGTGGTTCTATATCATCTGAGGCTATGAGTTCCTGCATAACAAGTTCTGTTGATCCTGTAGAGGGTAACAGGGACAGGAGCCTGAAGACAAACCCTGGGAAAAAGCAATTGTTGACGCCTGATGTTACTCAGAGCATTGATGATGATACCTGTTCGGATGAGAGCTGTGAGGAGATGGATCCTACTGATTGGACTGATGAGGAGAGGTCAGCTTTTCTTCAGGCTGTATCATCTTATGGGAAAGACTTTGCCAAGATCTCACGGTGTGTAGGTTCAAGGTCCCAAGATCAGTGTAAAGTGTTCTTCAGCAAGGCCAGGAAATGTCTTGGATTGGATCTCATGCGGCCCAAGTCTGTAAATGCGGGGTACCCAGTGAATGATGATGCAAATGGCGGTGGGAGTGATACAGATGATGCATGTGTTGTAGAGACAGGTTCAGCAGTTGACGCTGATAGGTCAGGCACTAAAACTGATGAGGAACAGCCATTGTCTGTCATGAATACGTTCTCTGATGAATTTAATTCTGTTGAACCCATGGCCTTGTCGACTGATTTGAATAAATCAAACAATAATGGGGCAGAAGTGGACGAGGATGCTGAAGATGTGAATGGTATGGTTTCTGATGCTTGTGAAATGGATGATATGACTAAACCGGGCTGTGGTGGTGGGGATGTCTTGTACAGTTCTGACAAGTCTGGTCCTGCTAATGGCCAGACAGCTATGAATATGTTAGCTAGTGTAGAAGTGGTAGAAGGTGAAGCAAATAAATTGGCAGGTTCAGTTACAGAGTCAGTGCCATGCCAATCTAATTCTGTTGTTGAGGCTAAAGTGGTTTCTGAGGTTTCTTCTGGGGGTCTTGGAAAGGAGCTAACTGGGCAGAAACAATCACTGCCTCCATGTCTTGATGATAGGGATAATAAACGTGAAGCAGTTGCTGATGTAGCTGAATCAAAAAGCTCAGTTCTAGATTCAAGTACAATGGTAAATGCTTCACCCTTACCTGCAGGTGCTTCTTGTACAGGCTTGAATCTTGAAGTTGAAAATAAACACCAAACCTGTATGTCAACATTGCCACTGGGGAATTCTCAGTCCAATGCAAAATTATTGTTGCAAGATACTGTTGCTGTTCAAGGTGAGCAAAAAGTTATTCAAGATCAACTGCCTTCTGCACGTAATTTTCAGGGAAGTAAAGATGTGCACTGCCAAAATTCGACGAGCAAAGATGGTCAACATGTCCATGTTCCCAGCTATTTAATGGATCATATTAAGGCTACTAGCATCCTCCAGGGCTTTTCCTTGCCCACTAAAAAAGAAGTGAAGGGTGAAATGAGCTGCGGCAGCTCAGCATCTGAATTGCCGCTTATGTCCCAAAAGATTGAACAAACCTGTGATCATTACAAATCGGAGTTGTGCTCAGTAGATTCAGAAGTGACATCTAGAAATGGTGATGTGAAGTTGTTTGGGAAGATATTGACCAATCCTTCATCCAATCAGAAAACTAATTTGAATTCCAAGGGGCGTGAAGAAACTGGCACCCGTCACCTGAAGATGAGTTGCAAGACTTCTACCCTTAAATTTAATGGCCATTGCCATCAAAATCCTGATGGAAATTCAACAATTTTGAAGTTTGACCGTGGTGATTATAATATAGGCCTTGAAAATGTTCCTATGAAGAGTTATGGTTATTGGGATGGGAATAAAATACAGACTGGCATTCCATCATTACCTGATTCTGCCATCTTGCTTGCAAAATATCCTGCTGCCTTCAGTAATTATGCTACATCCTCAGCCAAATTGGAGCAACAGTCATTGCATGCATTTACAAAGGGTAATGAACAGAACCTAAATGGCTCTGCGTTTACGACTCGAGAAATCAACAGCAGCAATGGTGTGATTGATTATCAGATGTTTAGAAGTAGAGATGCCCCGAAGGTGCAGCCATTTATGGTAGACATGAAAAACCGCCAAGACACGTTTTCTGAGGTTCAGAGAAGAAGTGGTTTTGAAGCAATAGCGAATTTACAGCAGCAGGGGAGAGGAATGGTTGGATTGAATGGCGTTGGGAGGCCAGCGATTCGGGTGGGAGGATCACACAGTGGTGTCTCGGATTTTGTGGCAGCCATCAAAATGCATTATTCCAATTCTGACCAGTATGGTGGTCATAATGGAAGTATCATAAGAGAAGATGAATCTTGGGGAGGAAAAAAAGGGGACTTAAGCAGGTAGTAGATGTGTTCAGCGGCAAACGTTTTCCTTTGCCGCCATCTGTATTATAGTTTTGTTATTGCTCAATACAGTGATAGGTCGATTTGACGGTTCCCAAGTCCGTCTTTTTGGTAAATTATTTAGGTGCTTGTAATGTGGCAGCAACTTTGTTCTCTCTTTTTTGATCATTCTGATAATCATCTAGCTGGAGTTGGATGCCTGGCTGATTGTTTCAATTTCTGATGATTGTATTGGAGTGGTCTCGTGACTCGCATCAAATGTCAGAGTGCAGGCATTTCTGCACCTGTTATACATGCAATACCTGGCTTATAGCCAGCGGTTGTGCGCTATATAATTGTTCACTAATAAAGTCTAGAAGGCAGTTGAGCATATCCTGCTACTTTCTCTTACCAAAGGTCCTGCTAAAATTTGTTGTACCTAAATGTTTAATTATATTGTGCATCAACATGGTTTGTCAATGCTAACTTCTTCAACAAATCACATAAATACCCTATTCTGTAAAGAGTACCTAGTGCTAACCTCTGGACAGCTATGAAAGTAACCTCGATGTTTACGTTGGCTGTAAAACAGCCTCGTAGATTGTGACAATTCATGCATACAGTCAATTCTATAAGCCCATTTGAAAGCGTTTGTGACTGCAACTACTTAGGTGCTACTTCATGCCGAATTCCTTCGCCTCTCCCCGTTTCTGGAGGATTTTAGGAAGGGGTGCGATGATCTCAATAACCTGCAAGCACACAAACTAATTTCTCAATTTTGGACCTAGCAGAATCAGAATAATTGCATAAGCATACGAATGCCAATGAAACATGAGAGATCATGAGGATGCGTCACCAAATGAGTTTTTCAAAAATTTGGGCGAAAACCATAATTTATGGGGTTGCATGCTTACTAGAGGTTTTTATTTTGATAGTGTTTTTGACCAAAACTATCAAGTCTTTGTCTAGTAAAAGCCTTGCAACTAAACGGCATAAAAAAGGAAACTCTTTAAATCAATTCTAGCACAATTGAATTTCATTACCAAATGGCTAGTCACGAGATCTCTGAACCAGAGATGACAGTTAACTATCATACCTCACTCGTTTTAGGATGGGAAATGACCAATTGATGTGCATGCAAATGGTAACCACAATCTCCAGGAACAGGTTGAATAGGTTTTTGGTAACCCCTATAAAGCAATCAACAATAAAGCACAGATCAAATTTCAAATTTACATTCTTATTTAACTTTCTGTAATTATTGAATAATCAAAAAACAAACCTACTTCGTCCACCGTACGTCAGTTCTTAACTTTGTGAATTGACAGTTTGCAAGATACCACAAAATAAACCAAGCAGTTTGATTTCGACAACTATTTTCTGCAAAGGGCTTTTCCTTTTCATAATTTTACTTGTATCTCATAGAAGCTCATTCTATGCCTAAGAATGACTCGTGCAAACATTAATTATGATTTTTTCCCCCAAAAAGATAGACAATCAGAGTATTCCACTTAACAGTGGCTGAATAAAAGTGAATTAAAAGAAAAAGAAAAGGAAGTCCTTAAATATGCTGGTCAAAAGGCCAGAAGTCAAGAACCAGGAGAGTAAATGCATTAATTTCACAAAATTGCATGGATTCTTTGTAATTTTCTGCAGTTACTTAGGCAAAGAGCATTGCGAATTTGGAATAATCTGCAGCTACACAATTGAATGATTTATTGTTAAATAAATGAAAGTGTCCCATCATGATTCCTTACCCATCTTGAGCAAATATCACATCTGGAACATTGTAGTCAAAGCATTTAGGTTGGCCACCAACAGTATATAGGGGATCGCCTGGGAAGAGACAGACTCGGATTAAAGCATCTGTATAACCAAGGCTCATACCAATAATTATGACTAAATAGTCGCATCATGATTAACCAGCAATAGCAGGAGACTAAACACAAGATTTCAAATGTAACGATTGAAGTGATACATGAATGAGGTCTGTTGATATGATTTGTGCTACGAATGAAAATGGTCAACGCAAAGTTTCTATTAGAGAAGCAATTGGTTGTGTTAACGTTACCGTATATTGATTTATTTGCTTGCCTAGAACCAAAAAACATGAATATTGACATGACATGAAAATGGCACACGGGAAAAATGGCATGGACAAAAAGATGCAGGGTCAAGACACTGGAAATTAGATCATATGGACTGTGGACAGAGTCCCCCCTATGGACGCTGTTTATACAAGCATATTTACTATATCAGGTGAGTTCAGGTTGATGGAGACACAATTAACATGTCCCTATAGCATAAGGCCATAATCTCATGTCCCTCCCTATACATAAAACATGGAAGTAGGCACGCGCCTCTGAAACTTAGGCCTACAAAGGACAAAGATTTATGTACAAAACAAAAAAGGATGTCAGACATTTATTGGCTTTTTACTTGACATCAGATGAGCAGAGCTTGCAAAATTCAACTTCTTTCTTATGGGAAGAGTAAATCAGTTTGTTCTCTGACTAGTGACTATCTTCCAATAACAAGCCTCAGAAAATTTCACTCGATTATTCCACATGGAGCACCAAAAATAACTCAGTAATTGAATGTTTACCTAATAGAGGATGCCCTATGAAAGATAGATGAATGCGGATTTGGTGTGGCCTTCCAGATTGAATCTGAACCTGTTAGACAATGCAATCCAAGAAAATTATAATGCTACTACAATCAGCACAATTTAAATGCAAACAAGCCACAAATGTTTACTTTGTTCAAGACACACCCCCGCCCACCTGTAATATTTATAAGTCATCACCGAAGACTCTTAAAAATGATGCCATATGATTATGAGCAAAGATACGGAGGTGCACGTGTTTAGCAATATGCTTCATTTGCTTTATGTTACAAAATACAAGTTAATAAAATAATCATATTTTTATATAATTTTTAAAAATAAATAAGAATTATCATACATTATTATTATTATTATTATTATTATTATTATTTTTGGAAAGTCACCATACAATATTTTTTTTTGCCACAATGTTGCATGTTGCCCGAGGACTTTAGTCTCCTGGGTGTTAGAAATCAAATAAAGGAGATATATTCATAAAAATAAAATTCAACCACCTGGACCAATGTGCAGTTTCCTTGTATATCTCTCTCTAGAACATCCACTACACTGAGAGCTGGTTTTCCTGCCAATAAAGATGATAATATATTGAGTAAACATCTGATTGAAGTAACAAAGGACCATGATCTTATGCATATTATGGTTTTGAAACAAACATTAAAAGCAACCTGATGGAGAAGCAACATACAGCCCTTTAGCAACACCAGGATATTTTATTGTTCCAATAGGCTGCTTGATAATCAGCTATAAAGTGAAAAAAACCAGTACGTGGTGAAAGCTATGTATTTTAAACATTGTAGTTCTACTAAGTCAGTTTAGACAAAAAAAGGGGGGTTAAAAAAACAAAAGAAATGATTCTATATAAGGGGAAACAACTCAGTTTCCCAATTGGCTGAAAAGAAAAATCTTCATTTCCCTTTTGATTCAACGGACAGTGGAGAACTACCTATTCTCAGTCTATTTAATAAAATCCTGAACAACACTCAGACAGAACAAATCTATGTAACAAAGAAGGAAGTTTAAAAAAATACAGATTAGTTTTTAATGAAACTTCACCTAATACAAAAGCTATTGAAGCTTTAAATCTAGTTTATAGAAGTGAAAGGCCTGCTGTGGTGGAATAAGTTTGGGAATCGCTTGGATTTCTACCTTGAAGCTCTTGTGTCTCTCCTATTATCATTTGCCATAAAAAGACATCAGATTCCTTATTTTTTTAATTTAGTTTTCTTTTTCTTTAATCCTTTTTAGAGGGGTATTGTCAGGAATCCCTGTACAATCAAATATCCACGTCAAACTATTATAGAAAATAAATGTCAACATATTACCTTATCATTGTCAACTATACCACTTAGAAGTGCTCGATAGATCTTTGCAAATTTCCCCTGCTCCTTGTTGGCATCTCTGTTTTTGGAAACAAATAGAATTCAACAGTTCATCTTCACCATTTTCTAATTTTATGTAAAATGATGGTCTTAAGTAACAGGATAATACCCAAAAAAAAAAAAATCTATTCTCAAAAGGAACCACTTCTCAGACAAGTGATAGCAGTAAAGAATGGTGATCTCCTTCCAACCAAGCATAATGAAAAAAATCTCTTTTAAAACCTCTAAACAACTCAAAGAGCTGCTTTGTTATCTAGGATTTATGGCCAGATAATTACCAAAACATGGGTTGGATTTTGAATTAGTTCATATTTTTTGGTGATATACATAAATTGCTATTATTCTTGAAAGGAGAGTAGAAATTACAGGACAACAGGTAATAGTTTCAAGTCCCTCAATCTCCTCATGAACAACCATTATTAAGTATTAACTACCTCCCCAAAGAGTCCCTTTCAGGACATGATTTGAAGTTGGACAATAAAAGATTTCCAAATCTCTTACAGTTAAAAAAAAAAAAGAAGAAGAAGAGCAAAATATTTTGACCTTGAATTCAGCACGAAATACACAGAACCTCCTAGGCCTCCCTTATATTTCAAAACTACATTACCATTTAATCCTTGACTCCTTTCTCAAAATGATACTAGTATAAGATTTTAATTAAGACAAAAAAAAAAGGTAAAAAGCTAGATTAACTTCTTGAATGGTTAAACCCTCCCCCCCCCCCCCAAAAAAAAAAAAATTGTATAGAACGCCTGCATAAACATTACTAATGTCCGTTAGTAAAGTGAAGTCACATAGCCTTGATATTTGCAAACAACTTGTAGGAATTTTAAATAAAGTTAATCAGGGGTGTTTTAGACATTTGACAATCAAGTTAACATTTTGATTGACTTTTGATATTTTAACCAACGAGCATGTTAAGAATAGTAAATACTTTCAAAGGAATTTAAAAGTAGCATGTTTTTCAAATTAAAAAACCTTATATCAATAAGCACTAATATATAGACACATATTTTAAAAATTAAACTTCAATCCTTTTGAGTTAGACATCTTGGTTTTAGCGCAGGAAGAAAAAAAGCAGATGCTACAAACCTGTTTCTTTCAGTATGAGATGTTCCATCGGCAAAATATGATGCAAGTCGAGCTTTAGCTAGCTTTGTCTTTGCACATAGTAAAATCCCTGAGACACATTCAATCAAATCTTGAAAAGTGTTAGGAATTTCCAACCTGTTTAAAATATTAGCTAGGGTATAGAAACACAATTAGTCAGTCATACTTATATAATGCCTCAGGGAATACCCTGATAAATACCATTTCCACTTTGCAGTTATCAATCAAGAAACTAGGGAAGGGCTCTAAACTTATCACAACTGGCATTCACAAACTCCAGAGCTATTTTTACAGAAATTTTTTAAGTTAAGATGAGATATCCTTCTTTTACAGAAATTTGCAGGTTACCCTTCTGATTTATTTTTACAGGGTCTAAATAGCAGAGCTATTTTTCTACAAATTCATGCTTGAAACATTTCCCGAGCTAACATTAACAGACAAATCTAGCAGAAGCATTTGGTTTAACCTGAAGTTCCCCTCCCCAAGCGATGTACTGGTACAGGGTGAGGCCCTTGGCATGACACAGATGCTCCCTGATTGTTTGCTTGCCAATGGAGCTGTGTTAAAACGGTCCTTTGTTGGAAAAGACCTCCAGGTAGAACTTGCAGGCCAGAAGGCTTATTTAGAGCAATCTGAATGCATATCAACTAGTTTATCAACTTGAATAGACAATATCCCAGTTGATGATCACAACTATTACAAAATAATCTACTTGTTTGCTACTTGAAACAATCTATTTCAGGTGGGAGGAACAGAATAATATTCTGAATGATTAAAGCTTCCTTTAGTACAATGAAATCTCGTATTCCTTGACACAATAGATACTGGAGTATAAGAAATCATGGATTACATATTTGGCATGACATTCGAAAGTTTTTTGTTTTTAATATATACACATTTATTTTTTTTGGCCATGAAAAGCTTTCAAATGTATTATCAAAAGTTAGTAAAGCTGAAAATTTCAGGATGTGAGATTTCCTGATTTATAGTGAATGAAATCAAAAGTTAGTAAAGCTGAAAATTTCAGCATGTGAGATTTCCTGATTTATAGTGAATGAAATAACAGTAAAATGGCAGCATCCTGTGTATCTAGGCAGAGTGCACCAAACATATTAGTTCAAAGTATTTGTTATGCACACCTACAGAAAACCATCCCCCAAAAATAAAAAAAAATTTTATTCATCAACTGAGCTTATCATTCTCAAGAATAAAAAGTTTGGTACTTAAAGTACGGTCATGAGCTAGTAAATTGTCAGTTGTACCTCATCATAAACATGCTGAAAAGCAATAAAAAAATAATTTCAAGCTGTCAACTCAAATAAAATATAAATATAAAATTGCCAGAGCAATTAACAAACGATAAGAGGCATACATGATGACAAATTACAGTGATAAAAATAAAGAAGCACTGACCAAGTCATCATCTTCATACAAAACTTCAATCATGTATGGTGCATCGGGTTCCTTCCATGGAAGCCTGTGATACACTAACTTTGTGCCATCTCTAACATCCAAAAAAAGGGAGAAGGAAAAAAAAAAAAAGAATCCATGTTAATGAAAGGAAGTGGGGAACTAACTATTGAGAAAAGGATAATAGATTTGTATCAAGAAACCTGAGGACTGTGCTAGGATCTGTGACAACTTTTCCATCTCCTGTTATCTGCATACAACATGCTAATGAGGATAAGAATCAACTAGACAATTTTTTCCATGTAGTCAACTAATTCAGATTTCTTCGTGATCAGACCTGCTCACTCTGAATACGCTGCAACCAACTGCAACAAAGTCAGTGCATAATTGTTTATTGCGAGGAAGGGCCAGAAGAAGATCGTAATACATAAATACTAAGTATTTTTGGGAAACAAAGAACGTGGTACAAGAGAATAATTTTACAAAGAGTCCAAGAGAATACATATACAAGCAAAGAGTTCAGGAACCATTCCTAAAACCAAAAGAATCTTTAAATTTGATAAATGACTTTAAACAAAACACAAAAACTCACACAGAACTAAATAGACGAGTGCAAGAAGAAACACTATCCCAGCATCCCAAAAATGATACTGGAAGAAACCGTTGACTGAAAATCATTATTTCAGTTCGACAGGTTCTGCTAATTCACATTTGTAAGAACTAATTAACTTTTCTGTTGTGTTGGGGATCGGCTTCTTGTTTACCATCTTTCCTTGGATGTAGGATAACATCTCATCGGTGATGATCTACTTTCTGTTTATGGAACGAACTGCAGTAGCTCTTTTTTGGCTAGCTTGACTATCACTTTCAATCTCCGTTTAAGTGGAGGAGGCCCACTATACATAACAGAAGCTGCTAATACTCCTCCTGCTTCTATTGCTTCTCAAGGAAGCATCTCCACTTGCTTTATTATTATTATTTTTTCAGAAAAGGGGAAAAAGTAGGTTTGACTTATATTAAGCCTGCCCAGCTTTCTTTAAGTTTCCTTCGTTTCGAAGAAGGGCAAGAAAAAAAAAAAAAGTTACGAGTTTTGATCAAGCCTGAGTGGTTCCAGCTTACCCTTGCAAGGGAGCTGAACTCTTGTATTTGCTCGAGTAGAACTCTAACAATGTCAACCCTGAAATTATTGGAGTATGATTGGTAAGTGAATGGAAACATATTTCTATAACCACATAATCCATACCAAACAAGAAATTGGAGGGAAAGCGAAAGTCTCGTTTGGCTGCGCCGGCAATACAGGGAAACCCGAGGGAAAGTAGGGAAAAGGAGAATCCAAAAATAATTCCAATTGAATTCTCTTTCTTTAAGCTCAGATGAAAACTTGTAGCGTAGAATTAAGAAGCAAAAGAGCACCGGAATCGGAGGGTCGCACGACATCGTTGTAATAGAGGCCGTCGTTGAATTCCGGCCAAGGAATTCCGAACTTCTTAGTATTGCGAGAAAGTGAAGAGCTCGCTGCCATTGAGCGATTTCGACAAGTTTCCAACCGGAGCAAAGCAACCACGAAACCAAGCAGAGCAACGATATAATGAATTTCGATTTGATGATGACAGAATGGTAAATTAGGGCTGGCACGCGCCAATTTCTTGTTAAGTACAAAATTTAGTGGTGTTACTGTTACTTGTGTACTGTGCCAGAAAATTGTCCCATCATAGCCATTAATTTTAAGTATTAAATTTTGATAATTAAATTAAATGAAAATCTAGTAATAATAAAAATGAATATTTATCAATTAATTTTATATAAAATTTTAATATGATTTCTTAATGTTATAAAGTATATTTTCAATTTTTTAATTTTAACACCTTCAATTTTAAATAATATTTTTGCCAATTATTATTACTTTTAAAATAATTTTATTTATTATGTTAATATTTTTAACACCAACATTTTTTATTAATAAAATTAACAATGTTAATTTTTAAAAATTTAAAAAATATTATATAAAATTAATGAAGCAAAGCAGTTTTGCCTTTAATAATGGATACTTTTTTATAAATAATAAATGATAATCAAATTTTGATAATAAATACTTATTCTAAATCAATTTAGAATGATCTTGTTCTTTGCCCTTTATCTCAATTTATTCTTTTAAATAATTTGTAAAATTTTTTTGGCCTGGAAATTGTTTGTAAATAAACATATGTTTTTCTGTTAAATTAATTATAAATACTTAAAAACTTTTGTTAGCCCTTAGCTTTACACGTTTTGATATGATTATTAGATAGATATTAGAAGATGGATAGATAGATTCATTAGATTAAATGGCTAATTCCTTATTAAAAGAATTTGGGAAAATTAGTCAAAAGGACCTAGTTAAAAACAAATTTGGTCTCAAGGATCAAATGTATTTGAAGGACCAAGATTAATATTTTATTCATTAAATAATTTAAATAAATGATCAAACTGTCCTTCTATGTTAATTAACTATTTTATAAAAAAGGTACAAAATACGATTATTGGAGTTTCGGCCCCTCCATCAACAAGTGACAGTGTGGCCATTAGAGCTTCAAGTTGCAGGTGAAGTGTTGGAAAAAATCAACACACCTTCGTTACATGTAAACATCAAAGATTACATATAAACTCAATAATTAGAGGATGCAAGATTTTGACTAAAGATTCAAGAGTTTTGGCTTTGATATAAAGCTTTTGGTTTAAGGTGTAAGGAGTATGGCTTAAGGCATAAGGGGTGTGGCTTGGGTATAAGAAGCATGGCTTGAGTATAAGGCTTTTAGTTTAGGTGTAAGGGGTATGACTTAGGTGCAGGTGGTATGATTTGGGTGTAAGGGGCATGACTTAAGGTGCAAAGAGTATGACTTAGGGTGTAACGGATTTGGCTTGGTCATAATACTTCTGGCTTAAAGTGCAAGGATTATGGCTTAGGTGCAAAGGTTCTTGCTTAAGATACACATGTTATAGCTTAGAGGGTAAGGGTTCTAACTTCGGTACAAGAGAGATGCTCAAGATGCACATGTTATGGCTTAAGATGTAAGGCTTTTAGCTTCGAGTATAAGGGTTATGACTTGTGTTATAGCAATAGGATTTACATATAATCCATAGTTATTTTTATGTAATTATAGGATGTTGACAATAACATGCTCTCTATATGTTTGATGAAATTACATGTAAATCATTCCTCAATCATGCTTGTGTGTTTCTTTAATATTAATTTACATGTAATTCGCAGTCGTTTTCATGTAATTTTGGGACACTAATAAGGGTATGCTTTCTATGTATTGAATTTACCTATAATTCACTAGAAATTATATGTAAATCATTTTTTACTCATGCTCGCAAGTTTTTTCACATATTGATTTACATGTAATTTAAAGTCATTTTGATGTAATTTTGGGGTACTAATACATGCATGCTTTCTGTATTTGATTTACATGTAGGTCGCTAGAAATTACATTTAAATTATTTCTCAAGCATGCTCACGAATTATTTTTCAAATTGATTTACATGTAAACAGTTTCATTTTCATGTAATTATAAGAGCACTAACAGTGACATGCTCTTTGTGTATTTGATTTACATGTAATCTACAATACATTACATGTAATTGTCATACTGATAGGTAAATATTTAATAACATTACATGAATGACAACTAAATTTTCAATGAAAAATAAGTAAATGTTTAGGGGGAATATAAACAACAAAAATACAAAAAAAAAATCAACAATAATTCTATTAGTTTAAGTCTCTCATTGTCCCAAGTACAAATTAAATGATAAACAAAAATCATAAGATATCTCAAATCAAAAAAATATCATGGGATAAAAACAATATTATACTCATGTTAAACTACATTCTATCCAATACGAAAAACAAATAAGGGAATACTTATAATGAGTTTTTTCTTTTTTAAGTATTATATATCATATAGCAAGTTATGTTAACTTATAAAAGATGCGGATTCAACAATATAACATAGAAAACAATTGAATTGTTTCAAAAAAATAAGTAAATGTGAAGAGTGAGAATGAACAATAATAATTTTAATGAAAGAACATTAATTTCATTAGATTTGATTTATCTTTTTATCAAGGACAATCAAAATGATAAACATAGATTATAGGGCACTCCATATTAAAAAATATATCATGAGGATTAAGAACAATATTATGCCTATATTAAACTACATCCTACCATGTACAAAAAAAAAAAAGAAAAATGGTTATAAATATACTTCAAAATACAATCACAATTTCATTCAATCTTTCAAGAAAATCTTTTAATTAGCATTTGCTTATAGCTTATTTAAATTATGATATGCATGAGTTGAATTTGGAAAAATTTTTTAATTTAAACTTATTTTTTCTCAACTTAAGAGAAAACCTTATGTTTCAATGTATCTAAAACATTATACCTGAAATGAAAATTAGTAGCCATCATTAAATAAAAACTTAATTTCTTAAAAAATGTATATCTTTTCAATTATACTCATTAAATATCTTATATAAGTATTTTAATAATGATTCAATACAATATTTTTTAAAAAGAGTAACAAATGAAGTAAGAGTGTGGTTGGAAAAAAAATTATAAAAACTACCTAATGCTTTACATTTTAGACTTGGTAAAACTTTTAAAAGATACCCTAAGATACCTTATATCATAGTAGTCCAAGGAGAATAATTAATAATTGTTGTCACTGAAATTCAGAACTTAAAATAATAAGACCATTACTAATTGACGTTATATACTTATATTCAGGAAAAGTAGCATGGCTTAAAATAATTAAACCATTAGATTTCAGGTCCTATACATAACTAATTTTTTTTAAAAAATAAGTAATAATCTTTTCGAATCACAATATAAATCATTGTTCATTAATTTATATATTCTTTTAAAAAAAGTTGATTAAAATATTAATTTTATAAGAAATTTCACATATTTTTAATTGTACCTTTAAGTGTAATAAATATAACATTTGATTTATTCAAAACATATTTTATTAATTATTTAATAAAATAAGGGTATTAAAAAAATATACAATACTTATCCAATATCCTATTTTTTGATCAAATAAAGTTTTTAAAAAATATTTTATATTGTGGTTTGGAAGAAGCAAGTCACTTATTATAAAAAAATAAACTATAATTTATTACTTTATTTTTAATTTATAAAATATTTTTAAATGAAATCACATATATTAATAAAGCTCATTAAATATACTTTATGATTTTTTTTCAAAACAAAACTACAAATTTTTAAAAGAGAAATTTTTGCATAGAGATGTATACCACGTTATTCATGTTTTATCTAATAAAATTGTATCAATTATATTAAATAAAATCTTATGTGTTATTATTTTTAATGGCTTTCTTTTTATAATAAAATGCATATTTAATTTTTTAACTTTTTTCTCTCTATGATCATTAATAGCAGAATTGATTTATATTTAATATTATATGAATGTCATTTTTTTTATTAGATTGAGCATGAATGACATGGTTCTATACAAGAATTTTTCACTTTTAAAAAATATCACAATTTAATATTTTATTTGTGAAAAAAATATTAAAGAAAGCTTATAATAAAAAGAATAACATTGAAAAATATTATTACTAAAACTTACTTTTATTATAATACCTTATATTTTAATAGGAGAATGGTAGATAAATCCTTCTAAAATAAAAAACATGACAATTTAATTTCATAAAATGTGACTTCTCTAATATTAAATCTCTCTAAAATTTAAAAAGTTATGACTTTTTAAATCGTCTTGATTATTGATGGGCCCAAACTTTTAAATACTATATTTAATTTTATTTATAAGTTATTTTTAATATTTTGTCTAAAAATTTAATTAATTTTTAACTTTACTTTATTAAATATAAATCTTCTTAAATATATTTTTTTAAAATAAAATATTCTAATATTTTATAATCTTTCCAAACTAGAATAATTTCACAGTTTAATCTCCCAACAAAATCCCTTAATGTTTTTTTTTTGTAAAATAAATAATTTAACTACAATCTTAACAACGTTTTTTTGAGGATAATTACTTTACTTACTCATAAATTAACACTAGCAATTCTTTTACAAATTTTAATTATTAAATTAACTAATTTATCATTGTTAATTTAATTATCAAACTGCGTTGGTAGGGTGCGCCTGGCCGAAGCAGTAGTGCAAAGCTAAGGCGACGCGCGAGGACCCCAATAGCAAGCTATTGGATTGGGCCCTCCCCACTAAAAAATTAATTTAATATCATGTGAGCCGATGGCCCACGTATCAGATATTAAACTGATAAGAACAGATACTACACTTGATCTTAGCCAAAAGGCCGAGAAAGGTATGAGTTGCGCCTGCGGTGATCGCCTCTTTTATAGGTTTTTTCGTTGCTCTTCGCTCTCGACTTGCACGGTGTGGGACTTTCGTTCTCCCATATTAACTTTCTATGCCCTCGCAAACATCAGATCCACATTTGACTTGAGGGTCAAAATTTTTCTTCTTTAAACAGATGGTTAATGGCTTGGCTTCGTTCTCTAATATCTGACGATTGGTATCTCGGTACGTAGATTAATTGGCAAATGAACTACCAGGAAAAGAGAATAAATTCACTGTATTTCACTTGTGTTAAACGATATGTCTTGAAAATAGAAATATAGGTGCTACTGTTGTTCAGTATTTAATTAACTGGAAAGGCTTTTTTTTAATTCCATGGTGATTGTGGGTAGATGACTGTTAAATGATGTTGCGTTCATTCCTACTTTCTTAGGTGGAAAATGATTCAGTGGAATGGAGATGAATAATTAATCATTGAAGGAATGAGTGAATAATTAATCTGAATCATATAATGTGTAGAACATCCAATACTCTTAGCCTGCCTCATATTGAGTTGAGGGAACTTTAACAGAATTTAGACTAATTCAGATTAAGTCAAGATGAGACCTTTTCAGTTGAAGGTTTATCACTACATTGCTACATTTCGAGACTTCCGATTAAAATGATACAACCTCTTACCAATTGAACCAGGCATCCAATGGTTTTCAATCAATATATACACTGACCATGTGATTGGCAAAATGTTGCATGCAACGCACCCAACCTTCCGGACAAGTCTGAAAACAACTGGAGTTGTAGCTAAGAGTAGTTGAACAACCCATCTTACAAGTTCCAACTAACATGTCCTAACATTTGAATAGGCCAAACCTCTTGAATATGAACGGATATTACGTTTGTTAGATCTTGTATTTAAACATGCTTTGGTTTCAGGGGTTAACTCGCTGCTTCAAAATTCAAGTGGCGGGAGAAAATAACATTACAAAAACTAATATTCGCATTCACTCTCTTTAAAAATGGAAAATGGCTTGGCAAACCATAGCCTACAAATTCCATTCATGACACTTGGAACAAATTGAAGCATTGTTGAAATAGAGTATCGATAATATAAGGAATGGAAACAGCCTCAAGGGGAAAATGTATGCTTTTATTTTCTCATTTACCTAGAGGCATACATGGTGAAAATGGATCAATATAAAGATAATAACAGAAAACACACTCTGCAAACAGAAGCGATTGCACAATGAACATACTAATCATCAGCAAAATACATCTGTTGATGAGGGTCCGGCCAGCTGAAGGCTACCTGCATTCCAGTTCACAGTATCACTGCAGTGTCTCTCTTTCGGTTTAATCACTTGTAATTGAGTTGAGCTGACAGAGGTTTCCGTGCTCACAGAGATGTCAGAAGCTTCTGTTAGAGCCAATTTTCTTGCAGCCACAGCCTTCAGCCTGTACCTCTCCGCCCTAGATCCAATCACCTGCCCTAAAACTGAAGCAGCAATGGTAAAAGCCATGGCTGATTTAGGCATCAGAACAGACTTTCTAAGCATTGCTATGAATGGAACAGCTGCATGGACAGCAGCAAACCATGATGGTGAAAATTTCTTGGTATGTTCTCTCCAAACTCCCAAGGGAACATTAGCTGCCATTCCCAACATCCCAATCACAAGAACTTTTGTGGGTAGGGACTGAGGTCGGAGGTTCTTTGCAAATGCAGTCCGAGCTAGAGCTGCCCTGGCTGCAACTACTGCTGGCGGGCATTTATATTTCATGCCAGGAGGAGGCTGAAAAACCTTGGCAACAAGTGGAAGCACATTGCTAACAGCTCGGTATGACTTTGCAATAGGGCAGTTCCCAGTTTGCAGCCATTCATCGCTCATTGCCTCATGCTTTGAACTATCCTGAGATACCAGTTTGACATAAGTCAGGGACTATGAAAAAGTAAATTCAATCACGATGATATGAAGATCTACTTTCAGCTAGTCATGCTGTTTTAAGAAAATCTTCAGAAAAAAAAGATATGTTCCAATACCTGGAAAAAGATGTTATTTTAAGAAAAAAATTTCCCAACCAAAATGAAACAGAGAGAAATCAAACTATTGTTGATAAATCTGAAAGCTGATTTTGTCTCAACTTAGTAGGTCCAAACATGATATTTATAATTTACTTGAGGATTTTCCTACATAACATGATTTAGAAAGTGGCAAAGACAGAAGTTAGTAGGTCCAAAATGTAATATTTATAATGTTAAGACCTTTATTTGAGGATTTTCCTACAAAAGATGATTTGGAAGGTGGCTATGACAGAAGTTCAAATATATTATACCTGTGAAGAAGGTTCTTTTCTTGAAGATTTAGATTTTCTCTTCTGATTGTTCCACTTCTCAGAAAATGAATCAAAACTGAAAGGCCATCCAAATCCAAATGATGATAGACTGATAGTTGCTGCCTTTGCTGCTAAGGGATTGAACTGGGATGTGGGAGGCTTAGGCTGTACTTCCTCTGAACGATGAAAAGACCCTTCAGATAAGGGGACTACACCATCACTACCATGGAAAAGCCTAAATGCGCGATCAAAATTGGGACCATCTTCAAAAATTGGACCTTTAGTCCCACGAACCTGAGTAAGAGGAACAGATATTTGTCAGTGTCAGCCACTCAATTCTTATTGTCTTTAACAGAAGGAGAGATAAATGGTCTGAAAGCCTATTTAAGCAACATGCTTAGAAGATAACTTGAAAATAAATAAAGTATAAATGAGCTATGGATCAAGCAAATGAAAAGTTTGTTTCCTGGAACAACAGTTTTAGTTACCAGTACACATTATTTTGGCCTAAATTGTCAGATAGGTCTTAGAAACCAAGATGGTTATTATTCTCAACAAACATGCCCAGCTAGGTGAAAGCAAATGAAAAACTTACAGGCACCGGAAAAGCCAATGATGAAGAGAATGACAAGTTAGTAGGCTCATTGATGTTCCTCAGGAATGGACATCTAAGAATGGAATCCTCATTTATATCTCTGGAGAAGAAATCCATTGTTTTGTTGCAGATTTAGCGGATCTGCAAATGACAATGCATAATCAAGAAACTTATTCACTGAAGTAGAGATAATAAGTTTAATCAAAATAATCTATGAATGTCAATATGATACCCAACATTTCACATGCTCATCAGCAAGAGGGACATTTCTATCTTTCTAAATAAAGCAAGTTGCATTCAAGTCTTTGCTTTGGATATAAGAATCTAATACCTGTAGGTCTGCTTAAAAGGAATCTACACATATATTTTAAAGCGACATGTGTTATTTATGCAAGTTGAATTGAATAAATGTCGAGAACCATGATAGTTGATTTATTAACATGTCAATAAAAAATTCAAAATCAATGAAAACCCAGATCAATAATCTCACTCACCCACCTTGGAAAATAACCGATCATTGAGCAAGGAAACACAGCAGTTTAAATATTGACTACAATAAGGGTATTCATGCATTGACCAAGAAGGAAATTTTCATGGAGCACAGATGCTGACGGGAGTGTAAAATCAAGTTAAGGAATTCAAACGTATGGCACCTTATTTCTTAGTGTTTCTCCTCAATCAGCAATTAGAAACTGATAAAACTTCTTTTTGTACATAGTTAGCAAACAAATCTCATATACAAATAGTTGAGGGCTAATTGAAACCAATTCTCATAACTCTTTACAAAGCCAAACAAATGAAATCTTATACTATAAACTCCAAAATACTAAAAAATCATATTGATTTCCTCAAAATATTTTATAATATAACCAAATAACAGGCATGCAAACTAAAGAAAACATCACGCCAGAATTCAAAAGCCAATTGCAAACCCATCTGATCACGCATATCTAAATTTCAGAATCTTGATTCTTTTCCCTTTTTTTTTAAAAATGATTTCTAAGGTATAGGGGAAACGCTCTAATCCTATCATGAGATGATCGTAGCACTTCAGTTATCAAGGTTGCAGCAAATAAGCAAATTGATCATTGCTACTTCCCAAACTGCAATAAACCACGACCCTTGAGGTTAAATTAGCTCCAACCTTTCATTCCCCCAAAAGTCAATCCAAGGCTGAATTCGGACGAGCTTTCTGAATTCAAGCTCCCAAAAAAAAAAAAAAATCCAAAAATACAATGAAGAAGCATAACTTCAACTCCCCTGAGGAATTGTATATTCATTGACAAAACAGAAAATCAGATCCCAAAAATTGTGAACTTCTTGGCAATAGTGGCTCTACAAAAATCAAGTTCAGTTGATCACATCACAGTACAAGGCCAATCACACACCTAAATTTGTATGAAACAATCAACCCGAAATCCCCATTGCAGAAACGGAAACCTATCAGAACCCACAGCAACAAATAATTGAAAAAAAAAAAAAGGCAACAACCCCGAAATCGGAAGCCGCAGATGGGTACCTATCGGAGGTTAAAAGAGACACACGCGAAGGAAGCACGAGAATTTCTAAGAGAGCGAAGAAACCAAAGAGAATAATGAGAGAGAAAGAGGAAAGGGACAAAAGAAGCAAGGAATTAAATCGCGGTAGGTGGAATTGGAAGAAGAATAGAGATGCTACAGCACAGCATGAAGAACAAGAAATGCGTTTCTTTTCTCTTATTTAACTTAGTTTTGGTTATTCGAACGTGTTTGGAGAGAGAAATAGAGAGAGAATAGTCAATGTTGGCTGTGCTATGCACACGCCTAACTGGACCTACTCAGCCCAAGGTGGTAAAAAGACACGAATGATGTTAATTTTGATGTTTCCCTTGCGGCTTGATCATTATTTAATGCCTCTTCGCTTCCATATTTGGTTTGGTCAAAAATCATTCATATCGCATCACATCGGTGTTGACATGGCCTAGAAGCTCAATATTTTTTTTAAAAAATAGATAAATTATATATATGCGTATTTTTTAAAAATGTTAATTTATTTTTTTTAAATTTTTATTCATTAACAAGACAACTTAATCTAAAATGGCATGGCAAGGTACTTATTTTTCAAGCATTATTATGACGTGAATTGTAAATTATCTTACGAACTATGCTTACAAGATTTTGTGGCGTAAATTATAAATTCTCTTTATATAAAATTTCAACTAGCAATACAATTATTTTTGACATAATATTTTTTGTTTCTGAATCCGAGTGAATGTCGCCTTATGATATGAGCTTGGAATTTAAATTAAAGCATAATAAAACGACTATAAAAATACGCACAAAGGGAGTGGGAGAGAATGCAGTTAGCAATAATACTGGATCGTGATAAACATGGGATGATTGACAAAGTACGTTCCTGCAGCTGGATCCCGCTTTCAACAAGAAAATTTCTTAATTAATTTTCGATCAAAATCATTTGAGACCTAACCATGTCAGCGTGCTAATTATTGCTATTTAGTTGTCACAACTTTAATCCAACAAATTGACAACTTCAATTAAAAAAACATGAGACTCTAAAGTTTAAAGTATTACCAGTCTTATTTATAACTTATTTTCAGTATGTTTTATTAAAATCAAAGCAAATCTTAAATTTCATTAATTCTATCTTAAAATTTAATAAATTTTTGTCTCTATCTCTAATAAGAAAAAGAGTTTTTTTAATAATTTTTTAATATTTAATAAGGATAAAAAAATAAAGATAAATATAAAAAATAATAAAATTATCCTATAAATAGGATTAGAGGTGTAATTTTATACTACTTCCTTCCCTATATAAAATATATTTTTTAAAAACTTATTTTGTCTCCAAACATAAGGAGTGTTATAATATTTTGAAATAATTAAATAATTTTGTCTTTATCTTGAAAAGGAGGAGAAATATTAATTGTGTTTTATTACTTACTACCATGATATTAATTGTAACATTATTAGAGGTAAAATTGAAAAAATTGTAGTTTATAAGCTTTCAACTAAATAACAAATTTTTATTAGTTAAAAAACATTTTATATATAAGGATATAAGGATAGAAATAGTTTTATGAGACTTTTTGTATTTATATTACTTGAGTAGGACTTGTAGGTGGTTTTCCCATTTTATAATCACTAATTTTACACACACACACACACATCATAAAAACTATCTCTAACAAAATAAAGCTAAGGTTGGTTTAACAAATTTATATTCAATGAAGTGTTCTTGCCTAAGAATCTCTTATTTGTGTGAACTGCGAAGCCAAAGGCCGTGCACTAGAAGGAAGCTATGAGACAACTATGCAAGGGTTAATGATTCACTTAAACGGTTAAGCCATGTGTAGATGTACTACAGTAGAATTCTTGAAACAGAGAGAGAAACCCAATTATCCACTTGTGTTCTTGCACTAAACAAATCAATAAGAAAGGAATCAGTGACTCTAGACACAAATTGAAAAGCTGAAAAGGGTGATCAGAGCATCATACAAACCATCTTGGACTCTAGTTAGTCATGAGATCTTCTGTATTCGGGCTTCAACTCATAGGTGCCTTGATTAGTTCCTTTGTTATTGTAGACACAGAGTTCTTTAAGTATATCTTTCACATATTGCTGCAGCAAAGCAAGTATGTCAGTTCAACACTTGCAGACAACACAGGCACTGCCAGCAGGATAAAGCAATGCTCTAAAGTAAACATAGCTTAACAATTAGTAGACTAAAATCAAATCAAAGATGGACTGAAAAACATGTTGAAATGGGTATTATTGGAAAATCTTCAAAGTGCTCATATAAATTGCTTTAGTTTATTAATTTCTTTGTGGCTAAGTTTGCCTTGGAATTTCTCACAGCGAGAGGACAAGACTTCGAGGCATGAACTTATTTCAGGGATTCTAACGAGCCACTACTTCATCATCAATCAGTGACCTCTGCTAACATAAAAAATCAGAAAAGAAGCCAAATGATATATAGAGGGGAGCATGCATTCCTTCAATGATCTTGGGATACTCATCAAAGGCAACTAATTGCCATGTAGAAGCATGGCGGAGGGAGATATCAAGGGTTTCACACAGACATGGGGGGCGTGGGAGAGGCTTTCCTAAAGATAAATTGATATTTATGAGTATACAGATTCTCAAATAAAATATAACAGAAAATTCCCCCCAACTTAATAATACATTATTGACCCCTTCAAAAAGAGTTCTTTCGTACACCATAGTTAAATTGAAGAAGCTGACAGCAAAACTACATGTTTCTTCTGAAAAATAACTTGAATTTACAAGTCCCTAAACTCCATTTACATCATGTGTGCAAGAGTATCTAAAATACATGCTTTTCTCCAAGAAGCAACACATCCTTCATGATTAGACTTGGAGTATAGTGTAGTCCTTTATACAGGTGATGATAACTACTGGGTATTCTCCGACAAAACTTACTTTTCATGAGTGTTCTGCTGGGACACATCTCAAACTAATGTCCCGTAAATTAGAGTTGAATATTTAAGACAACGTATCACTAAGAATACATACTTCAGGTTGGTCAGTTTCTTGTATGAGTTGCTTCAAACTCCAATTTGGCTGCCGTTCAAAGAGCTTAAACAAAATTTCTTCCATCTCTCCACGGTCCCTTCTTGTTCTCTTTGTTTCAGTTCCTTTGGTTGGGGTTTTCTTCTTTTCCTAAATCAACACAGAAGTTTCTGTTAGATCTAAAGTACAAGATATAAAATATGCTCCGCCTCTTCCCCCAGCCTCCCAGGCTTCCCAAGGGAAACATATGCAGATCAAGTCAATAATCAAAATAAACATGTCAGCCATACTTTTCAGTTGGCTACACCTCTGACATAGTCTTAGTCTACAGATGTCTAAGAATCTCCAGAAGAACTAGTCCATCCAGGCATGGTTCAACTGTCAAGAATGTGTTAGTAAGGAAAAGTAAGACATACACTGGCCCCAGAAGTGGCAAAAGTAATCATCCCAGGCATGGGCCTCATATGAGCCCCATGATCGTTGTCAATAACCTGCAAATGGAATTTACGAGAAGTCAGTGGGAAAAAAAGAATTATTGCATGAATTATTAAATCCATGTTACAAAAGCTATAAGAAAACCTGTATCTGTCTACTTTTGACCATATATTTGTTTGTCCTTTCACGGCAGAGTTTCCCATAGAGTTCAAGGTTTTGATTATGAGGCTTCATGTCAAATTTGTTGAGTATTTTTCCTTCCACGCTAATTTTTCCTACAATTTGACAAGAAATTTCAACTGTTTCAGTTAAAATTTTTGCCAAAATAACAGTGCTAGAGGAGATTTATGACATTTTCAGTCTCAAACCAAACACTGCCAGGGGTAGCGTAATAAAGCATATCCCCATTATTCTGATCTCCTCTCTTTTACATGTTCCGTTAGGGACTATTCAATCTCCACTTGCTCAAGTTAAAGATACAGGGGAAGGGAACCTAGGCGAATCACAAACCCAAAGGAAAATAAATTACCAAAACAGAATGAAATTACGATCAACAGAAAATAAATGCATTATTTGGCCATTCGTTTCAACAATTACCTTAACAAAAAAAAAAAACAAAGTTGGCGTCTACTAATTGACTCAGTGATCTCAATTTAGCTACTAAGTCCAAGTACAACACATATATTGACATGTTTTAATTGACAGTAAAATTTCATATTTTTTATTTCATATTTTTTGCTTTGGTTTATAAGATAACATATCTCATTTGATAGGATTTGGAGAAAATCCTCTAAAATAATAGTTGAAAAGACAAAACAATAATCCACCTTGAACAAGGGTAAGAATCAACTAAATTCCAAAATGAGAAAAGCATAATACCGTAGGGTACAAATATCATATTGTAAGTCCTCACTCAAGAATATAGTAGATCCTCGTCTAAATAATAAATTGTCATGCAGAAAAAAGGCCTGTTATTTCCATGAGGTGTCAATATTTTCAGTGTCAAACTTATTGCTGTCAAGAATTCACTTTCCACATGTATGATGTAAGATTCCACGTATTTTGACATACCAACATCTCATTCAAAAGAGCTTGAACAAGAATACATTTTTGTTAAAATAGCCACCACCAAAACCAGACATAATAAGAACTAAGAACCAGCATTTTATATTTCTCCGTACAGAACATTTTGAAGTTAAAATAGTAGAAGTTCTCTTAATAACCTTTCCAACATTGGTGTTTCATTTTCCCTCAAAAAGTAATTCCACGAGGTGTCAAGATAGAACTTATGCATAAGAAAAAGCTGACATTTATAGATAGGTTAAGTAGGTCTCTAGGTATTGATTTTATAGCTTCAATGAGAACCGAGTTCAGATTCAAAATTAACGGGCAAAAAAATGTTACAAGTTATAAACTCTTCTGGTTAGTGAATATATAAGAGTTCCTCCTCATCGCTGGTCATATTGCGAGTGCAATCATTTCAACGTACAAAAATAAACAATTAAACAATGATGATAGGAACCCACGCCGTGCAACTATCTAAAGAGGAAGAAATAAAGCAAAGGGGATAGTGGTGAAGGAAGTGGGGAGAAGGTCAAAGAGCAGTTAAAAGGCAGTTTAGTAGCAGTTTCCATGATCACAGAGCACTGTTCACAGTAAATATTACTAAAATCAGCTATGTTTTTCCAAGATACAATCAGGTTTATCATTCAGATGTTCTCTTCCAGTTATGCTTTGCTTCTGTAGTTTTTTTATTGCTTATAAATAGTTGCAGGAGTGCTCGGAGAGAACATCTGAATGATAAACCTGATTGTATCTTGTAGATATTCCTGGATTTAT